CCGATGGCTTCCCTCATTCACCCTTAGGCTTTATTACTGGGCGTCAGAGAGGTTGCTTCCCTTCCATCTGGGGTGACCCCCCCCCCCAAGGAAATTGAGGTGCTAGGGAGTCAGATGGTAAAGTAGAGGGTCTGTGACAACGTAGGAGTTCTCCATGGGGTGGGTGGGCTGACACATTGGCCTCTGCAGCAGACTGAAACATACCGGTGACCATGAAGATGGCACGGAGTGGGCAGCATTTCAGTGGTCTTCACACAAGGCTCCCAAGAGAAGGAGCTGACTCAGTGGGAACTAACAACAACAGGCAAAGAGGCAGCGGTGGCTCAGTGGAAGAATTCTCTCCTTTCATGTGAGAGACCCAGGTTCGATTCCCGGCCAGTGCACCTCAAGTGTAGCCACCAGAGTGGCGAGATGGGTGCTGAACAGGTTTCAACAGAGTTTCCAGACTAAGGTAGACGGGACAGAAAGATGTCATGGTCTCCTGAAAAGTTAGCCAATGAAAACCCTGTGGATTTCAGCCATCCAGGTATGGCGCTGTGGGTTAACGTGCTGGACTGCAAGGTTGGTTAGAACTACAGGGTCAATAGTTCAAGCTCATCAGCTGCTCCATGGAAATCCTATACAGGGTCTCTATGAGTCGGAACTGGCTCAATGGCACTTAACAACAACAAAAATCCTGTTGTGCGTAGGGTTGCCATGAGTTGGGGGCCGACTTGACAGTAGGTAACAACAGCCAACAGTCAAGTGGCCTTCCTGTTGTGGGCCTCGACTAGACACTTCCCAAGTTCTCTTCTGGCCTCGGGAATCCATGATTTGACTCTTGCTGAGGTCTGGGGCTGATTTCCTTTGGTATTTTCCAAAAACACTTGGAATGGTGAGCTCTATACCAATTAGGTTTTCAGTAAATGTTTTTTTTCACCAAGTATAAAGACTATGTAAGGAGCTCTGGTAGCGTAGTGGTCACAAATCGGGCTGCAAACCACAAGGTCAGCAGTTTGAAGCTACCGCTGCTCCGTGGGAGAAGGATGAGGCTTTCTGCTCCTGTAAAGATTTACAACTTTGGAAACCCTGTTCAGGGTCGCTATGGGTCGGAACCAACTCGATGGCACTTAGCAACAACAACAATAAAGACTGTTAGCCATTGGCCCAAAAGGCAATAAGGATGCACACTTCTTTAAAGCATTTAGCTTTCTGACTCCAAACAGACTATTTCAGCTACTGAGCTTCGTTTGCTTGTCAGGAAAATAGCTGATATTTATCACTCCTCTTAGAAAAAGGAGCAAGAAAATGCATTTAAGCATTTAAATGTTTCTGTGTGTATATTACAGTGAATTTGTTGAGTAGAGCTGTTGGAACAAACCTCGTCTTGGATCATCATCCACCTCCTTCTCTCTACATACCGGCTCTCTTCCTAAATTCAGCCAATGTGATGCTCATTCTTGTTTCTTTCTTCATCATCCTTCGTCCACCTCCCTCTAAATTTGCCTCCAAGCACCGTTGGCTTTTCATTGCTTGGCACCCTCTCTATAACATCGGTTTCCTCCCTGTACCTAGACCACACCTGGATTAGCACCACCACCTCCATACCCCCACCCGCCTGCCATCTTACCTCCTTCATCTTTTCTGCAAACTGCTGTCTGATATTTTCACTGCCCTTCTTAAAAGCACAGGCATGGCTTCTTAAGGAGCCTGGTGGTGTTGGCGCCGTAGGATAAGCGCTGGACTGCAAGGTTGCTTTGAACCACATGGCTGGTGGTTTAAACTCATTAGCTGCACCTTGGGAACCCTATACAGGGTCGCTAGGAGTTGGACCCGGCTTGATGGCACATAACAACAATAGCAACTCTGTCCTATGGGGTTGCGGTGAGTGACAATTATTAATGGCTTTTTGTTGCTTATCAGTTGCAGAGCAGTTAAGAGGGCTTTGGGATTAGGTAAACTTACAGTCCTGATGGGGTGCTTTAGCATAAACACTAGACTGTTGATCTCAAGATTGGTGGTTCAAACCCACCAGCTGCTCCTTGGAAACCCTATACAGTGTCTCTATGAATTGGAACTAACTTGAGGGCACTTAACAATAACAACAATACCTAGGTACGGATCCCATCATGGCTACTTACTGTGGATTAGTATTCAGCTAGAATAAAATCAATTAAAGTGACCTCACCATGCGTTTATCTCCCCTTCGTACAATAAGTGCTGGACTGCGAATCACAAGGTTGGTAGTTCAAGCCTACCAGCCGCCCCACTGAGAATGGTGAGGCTTTCTGCTCCCACAAAGATTTAAAACCTCGGAAACCCTATACAGGTTCACTGTGAGTCGGAACTGCCACAAGGTCAACAACAAAAAACCCCGTCACAGCTCTGAGGACAGGCAGCCGTCCTTGGTTGGTGGGGCTGCAGTACTCCGCAGAGTGTCAGAGGCCTGCAGACTTTCCTGCTTTCTGCACAGTCATTCTGGTGGGTGGTTTTGTACCCGTGCTTGTCCTTCCCGGGCTGCTCCACCTCCAACACTGAGTCTGTGTCCCCGGGCAGGGCTGAGGACAAGAGTGTGTGCTAGTTGAGCTTCCCTGGAGGCCTCCCAACACTTCTCATTGTCCAGAATGGTCCCATGTCTCTGCCCAAGAGTTTTCAGCTGACGCATTGCCAATGTGATCAAAATCAGAGACCAGGGTTCATCTTACTTAAGATCTTGGAATATCCATCCTGTGCCATCGCTGGGCGTATACCAGGTGTTCATTAACTGCTTCAGACTTAGCTTTAAAATAGAACATATTTTTATTAGGGCAGATTTTCACAGTAAACCAGCTGGGATAATATTTATTGTGGCCTCTGAAAATGTAAAATTCTGCAGTTCTTTTCTCTCCTAGCCAACCACCTCACTTCACGTCCATTGTGCCACCCCCTCAGTGGCTCTCCCTTGTCTGTCAACCCCAGACCCATCCCTCCCTGCTTTCCCATCTGTCATTCCATCCATCAGTCTCCTCTAACTTCAGGACCACGAATATCCCTGGAATGAAAATGGCGCCCCTGCACGTCCACAGCCCCGGTTTTGAGTTGGCCCCATTCAGAATGAGGCTTTTCTTGCTATTTAAACCTTTTCTCTTCTTCTTCAACTCCTAACTCTGATCTTATTCCATCTTGGCAGAGAAACTAGAGACTGAGGAGAACTCCCATTGAAGGGTCTCTCTTTGTCTTCAGGAACCTGCTTCTAGCAGATCCTCCTCTTGTTCTAGGGACCTGCTCGCCATAGTCTTTTAGAAAGAACTCAATTTGTCTTCTCAACTTTCTGCTCCTCTGCTGGCTTTTCCTCCCATGTTGGGGAGATGTTCAGGTTTCCCCATGAAAAATGAAGCAGGTATCGAATACCTACTGTGTGCCCAGTCATGGTTCAGGTAAGTAGCCTGTCTGCCACCTCCTCTCCCGCAGACCTTTGCTGACTATCTTCCTTCCTTACACGACTCACCTTCTGCTCCTCCAGCCACCATGGCCTGATTCCCTTAGACAACATGGTCTTAAGCTCCATGCACATGATCCACGCCTTGCTTGAGTCAGTGGCCCTCTGGCCTTTGTTACTTTTGACCCTATTCTTCTCCTTTTCCCGAGTTCCTCTCTGTGCTGAAGCACTGCTGCATCCACCCAGTGGCTTTTACTGGTCCTTCCCCGCCATCTCTGTAAATAGAGATCTTTCTCAAAGTTCTGCTCCAGTTGCCTTCTCCCTGAAATTCCTGGGGTGTTCTCGTCGTTTCCAATGATGTCAACACTCTTCTCGTATGTTTGTCTTTGTCTTTTGAGACCCTAGATTGTCTCTAAATGTCTCTTTAAACCATCACATGGCACCTGAGTCTCACCATGTTACAAATGAAACTCATGGATAATACTTTTCTTCTTCCTCTTCTCCTTCTCTCTCACACACTCTCTTTCTCACTCTCTCTCTCTCACACACACATACATGCAAACAGGAGCCTTCTTTGCCATGAGTTTTCTCCTAGATGGGCAGACTTTGGGGATCTCCTTCAGCAACTGCTCCTCAGTAACCCCCATTTTCTTGGACAGCCTGACCTTGTTGATTGTAACTCAGGCCCATCTCTTGGTTCTGTGTCTTTCATGTCTACTGCGGCTTTCATGGCTCACAGTTTACTCCAAACCTTGGACCATTCTATCCATCCTATTTCTGACCTTCTTCCAGTTTGGTCTTGCCCCTCCCCTAGCTCCCTGTGATCTTCCAAAAGCTCTGACTTGATCATGTTCACTCTGTGAACAGAAACCAGCATTTGACTGAAGGTGAAGTCCAAACCCAACCAACACTGGTAGATCACCCCCATAGGTAGGTACTGTAACTACACTTAGGTGACAAAGAGAAACAAGTCATGATTTCTGCACTTGATAGTTTCTCAGAGTAGGGCAGGGAGACAAGGACCATCACATTGACTTATAGTTACGGTGGTAAGACTTTATGAGCTCAGCAGAGGGAGAGCCAAAGCTGGGCTTGGGGAAAGGGAAAAGAAGGTGACATTTCAGTCTCTTGGTGACTTGCCCTCTGACCTGATTCCCCTCTCCTGCCCTTGTAGCTAGGCTTGGCTCATACAGAACCACTTAGCATCGCCAAGCCAGAGCATACACTTTTCATGTCTTCATGCTCCGTTCATGCTGCCACTCTTCCAGGTCACCTTTGCTGCTCTTGTGATCAGTTCCCCCTGGTCCTTTCTGTTTCCCTCTCAGTGACACTTGTAATCGTGGCCTCACCTTTGAGTAGTGTGCCTACCTCTTTCGCTGGTCTAGATGAAAAGCTTCTGAGACCAGAGAATGTGTTAGTCACTCAAGGATTGCCCTCACCTCTGGCCTGGTGCATTGTACCCTTGGTGGAAGATGGTTTCTTTTACCCCAGGGAACCAGGTTGTGTAGGACTCACCTTCGTGTGTCCAGATGCAAACTACACGTGCCCGGTTGTGACCCTGGTAATTCTCGGATGCCTCCTTTTGTTCTTGTTTCCTAACCAGTGTTTAGAAAGAGCCATGAAGTTTGCCTTTGAGGAGTTCCACCTCTGGTACCAGTTTGCCCTGTCGCTGATGGCTGCTGGAAAGGTGAGTCACCTTTGTCATGTACAACTCTGTGCCCTGCTCCGTGGACTTGCAGTCCGTGCCATGGAATCACACCAATGTCTACACCAACTTTTGAAAACTGTCCTGTTGCCATTTCGAAATGAACAATCAAGGAAATGGACTAACTATTTCAATTATTCGGGGACCAACATAGGTGAATGTCGAGAAGAAAAATTCTACTGAATTTACCTTCTAGTAGCCATTGTAACTGCATCATGTGAAAAGGATGTGGCCTAATCCAAGGCCAGTCCTTCCCCCTGTCCCCTCTGTTCATGTGAGAGTGTGGATTTGCTCTCGGAGAGGGAGCTCTGTTGCTTACCTTTCACAGTTGCCTTGGCAGAAACCATGGGCTGTGGAACCCCATCCTTTAGGTGGATCCTGGTACTGCTCCTCACAGCTGTGTGGCCCAGGGCAAGCTACGTAGTACCTCAGTATCTGCTGGTGTAAAGCATAGTAATAGTAGCACCTACTTCATAGAATAAGGAGCTCTGGTAGCGTAGTGGTTACGAATCAGGCTGCGAACCTTAAGGTCAGCAGTTTGAAACTACCAGCTATTCCATGGGAGAAAGTTTAGGCTTTCTGCTCCCGTAAAGATTTACAGCTATGAGTCCGAACTGACTCCACTGCATATAACAACAACAACAACTCTATAGAATAAGGAGCTCTGGTAGCGTAGTGGTTACGAATCAGGCTGCGAACCGGAAGGCCAACAGTTCAAAACTACCAGCTGCTCCACGGGAGAAAGATGAGACTTTCTGCTCCCATAAAGATTTACAGCCTCAGAAACCCTGTACAGGGTCGCTATGAGTCGGAACCGACTCCACAGCACATAACAGCAACATCAAATCCATAGAATTGTCTTCAGGTAAAAGAGGGGCACCCACCACTAGCACCCCCTCTGTAAATGTAGGAATTGTTGTTATTCTTAGTCACTTGAGCCTTTTAATGATTCTCTGCCATTTGGTGACTTGTTAGCCCTGAAATATAAGATTACTTGGCCTAAATGGAATCAGAATTTTAGTAAGACATACTTATAACTTATGTGTCTTCAAGTATCTTTTTTCCTCCCCTTTCTCTTTGATAATGACCACACAAGTAGGGAATGAAATCAGAGTGAAGCCAGAGAAGCTTGTTTTAACCATGGGATGTTCCCCATCACTTGCGAGCCTCAAACTCTGGTCATAACTGTCCCAGGCCTCTGGTTGGGCTCCAAATTGGAAAACCTCTTTAAGAGGGCATCCTGACCAAAACCCCTCTGGGAAGGCATTCATATTTGGTTCTGTCAAAGGCTTTGAGTTTCACAGAAGTAATCTTCTCTTGACAAGTCTGCACGTGCTGTGAAGGTATTGAAAGAATGTATCCGTCTGAAGCCTGATGATGCCACCATCCCACTCCTCGCCGCCAAGCTGTGCATGGGCTCCCTTCACTGGGTGAGTAGAGATGGCCTCTCCTCAGCGGGAACTCAAGGGCTCTCTTCACTGGGTGAGGAGGAGTGGTCTCTCCTCAGCAGAACTCAAGGGCAGGACTTATTTTTATGTCAAGGCACAAAGAGAAAATGATAGTAATTCATCAGCCACTCAAGCACTAGGCCATTTAGAACCACAGACCTCTGACCTGGGCTACCACAGACCCCCCCCTCCCCCACTTCTCCAAGTTTTTCTTTTTCATGGGAAGGTGCAGTGAAGAAATAGAACTGGGATGCCTGTTCAGGTATATCATGCTTTTTGCAAGTGATGTAAAGCTCGAAGAGTAGATGAAACTAACTATGTGCCCTGGTTTTTCCAGAGGGAAGACTGACCCACTGCTTTAGCTTATGTGTAAATCTGTCTTTCACCATCATTGAAAAACCCAAATAATGCCTCCTTCCTCTATCTTCACATAGAGTTTTTTATGTATTGTTATTCAAACTTGAGTTTGGGGATAGCCTGGTTTTCAATAGTTCTGTTTCCTCAAAGCATTTGAGAAAGAAGCTTAGAAACAGGAAACACAGGGAGGAAGTGAAGAGTGAGGTCACACTGTAAGGACTGCAATCAATGAGATGAAACAAAAGGTGTTTGAATTGTTGAATGGAAAATTGATCTGCTCTGTAAACCTTCACCCAATTCACAATCATTGTTTTTGTAAATCTGTAATTTCATGACCATTTGGTAACATTTTAATGTGGCATCAGACTCTTTATATTGTTTTTATTTTAATTTATTTTAATGTGGCATCTAGACTCTTTATATTGTTTTTATTTTAATTTATTTTAATGTGGCATCTAGACTCTTTATATTGTTTTTACTTTAATTTATTTTAATGTGACATCTAAACTCTTTATATTGTTTTCTCTTAAAAGAGAAATGGAGTCATAACACTCATTCAAATTGATGGCCTGCCATTTTCATTTAGCATATGATGGTGCATATCTTTCTATGGGGATCGAAATTATTCTACATTGTTAATACAGAGAGAGAGAGAGAGAGAGAGAGTCCTGGTGTGGTACTGCAGGTTAATGTGCTGGACTGCAATATTGGTTTGAACCACAAGGTTGGCAGTTCAATCTCATCAGCCACTCCTCAGAACCTATACACGGTCACTATGGGTCAGAACCAACTCAATGGCATATATATATAGCATTTGCACACACAAAAAAGAGAAAACAGCTGCATTGCTGGTGGTGCTACAAGTCAGTTGCCCCCCAGGATGGAGTTTCCATTTCCTCTTTCTACCTTCAGCTGAAGATTAATGATGAGAAGGGTCTGCTTACAAAAGGCTCCCACCATTGTGGTCCTTGCTGCTTACTAGTAGTATTATGATTTTCAACGCATTCTTACCCAGCAGGACCCAAGTAAGCCTTGTGAAGACAGTGTTCCACTCTTGTTGGCTTTTACATGGGAAAATGTAGACGCAAACTGACATTTCCCAAGAGCAGGCTCATACCTGAGAGCATGCATGTGCAGGCGCGGTGTGGTTCACACAGCTCCGCGGGTGTTGCGTAACCAGGAACAAGACAGTGGGCTCCTGGAGAGGGCAGTGGAGGGGCCCGCACCTATTGGTTTTGAAAATGCCAGCTTCCAACTGTGACTGCTGTCCTGCCCCCAGCTGTGGCATGATTTGTCACTGTAATGTGTACACATCTCTTGGCATTTAAAAATAAACCTGACTTGTTTAGTTTTTTAATGATTGGAGGAACAAATCTTTTTTACAGATTTTAAAACTATTTTTGTTATTAAAATGTCCAAACACCACAAAAGTAGAGTATAATCAACACTCAGCTTCAATCGCATCGACATTTTGCTGTACTTTGAAAGAATGGCTCTTACTGTTTTTTGCCTCTGATGAATTGTGCAAAAGGTCTTACTGTGGGTGTTGTTTACAGGTGTATGTTGGCTCATGGTATCTGTTGGTGTGAGGCCCATGTGTTGATATTGTTAAAAAAGAAAAAAGAAAAGAAAACGGTGTTTTGCAATTGTTAACAGCTTGTGGAAAAAGAATTCTAACCTAAATAGATGCTTTTTGCTATGAAAGGCGGGGAGGAAGGTTAGATCCAAAACAAAACATCCTAAGGATTTTATTCTTTTGACATTTATGTAATTCAACTTCTGTATACCTGGACCCAACCTTATCATAGAGACAATCAGTAAAAAGTAAAGATGAAAAAGATAGAACTCTACCAAGTATGAAAGTAACTTTGAAACGCAAGCAAATAAGCAATAAGAAAAGCGATTAAGGAAAAAAAGCAAGGTGGGAAAACTCAGGATTGTCAGAGAGGCTCTGTAAACAACACAGAATCACCAGGGTAGCATTGGAAGGTTTGGAAGATATTTGAAAAGTGACTCATCAGAAATCCATTTTGGCAGCAGGTGCTCATAGGAGCTCATGTTCACAATTCTGCAGGTTGTTGTCGTTCTCAACTTGTCTCCCTTTACAGTTGGAAGAGGCTGAAAAGTTTGCCAAAACTGTTGTTGACGTGGGAGAAAAAACATCCGAGTTCAAGGCCAAAGGCTACTTAGCTCTGGGGCTCACATACAGTCTTCAGGCCACTGATGGTAAGAGAGCCCCCCCCCCCCACCATAGGCAGCCACCAGACTGGCCTGCCTGGCTAGGTCTCCATCATAGGCTTCCCACAATTAGGAGGCAGTGTGGTACCATCCTGGGCTGCTATTCCTGCTGTTTGGACTGGGAGGAGAATGGAGGGAAAGGAGGAAGGCCTGAGTCCTGGCGTGGCCCACAATGCACAGGGGCTGACACAACACATCTGCCACAAGGGCCTTGAGACAAGCTACTGGATCCCACCTCACACCTGCCCAGCACCTGGCCAAGGGTCTTAGTTACAGGAACATAGAGCATAGAAGAGTTCAGAGCCTCTACTTTCAGGAAGCTGGCCAGGAACTGTCCCTTGTCTGCCCCCGCATTTTAATTCTCAGATAGTTCACATCCAGTACACCACATACTTAGAATTGGATGGACTTAAAATTTTGGTGGAGGGGATTCTGCCCCAAACCATCTTAATTGTACTTTATATATAAGTACTTAGTGAAATACTCATGGATATGCTTGCAGAAAGTGTAAATTGATAAATCATCTAATTGTCTGAACTCTGTAACTATTCTTGGAACACTTTACTGTGAAGAAGACCACAAACTGACTCCTTTCTCTGCACATCAAGCTATTACAGACCCTGACCATTCACTGTCTTGGGTGAATTAAACTGGCCTGCTGATGGTGTTATGCTGGTTCCTAAACCCAGAGTCACAGTTTTCAGTGCTGGGAGGGGGTTCTGAAGGCCATCAAACCCAACACCACTGGGGCCCAAACCCCTTTAGACCATCCTTGTGGGGCCAGTCTTTTACCACAAGCGACATGCCTGCACTTGGGAGGAGAGGTGGGATTGTCTCTTAAATTCTTAGATGTGTGTTCCTTTTTAAATGACCTTCATGACCATCCGACTTCGATTCTTCACTTAGCACTGTTCCCCAGACTGCCAAGTGGGTGTGAGGACCCCGGGGATGAGGGTAGGGATGAGGACCGTGGTTCATTTCCTGTCTTCTGCAGCGTTTGGCCCTGGGCTGGTTTAACTGTATCATTTTGGTGATGGGTTTTATGTTTGTCAAAAGCTCACCGACTAATTGGACCCTTTTCTTAGCTTCTCTGCGAGGGATGCAGGAGGTCCTGCAGAGAAAGGCGCTTCTTGCGTTTCAGAGGTGAGTGGGCGTTCCTCTTTTCATTCGTCTGTACATAATGACACCAAAGTATGATAAGTATAAAAAGAAGAGATATTTATAAAGATTATGTAAACAGTATCTCACCCCTGGGAGTCTTTCATCTTGAGCACTGCACATCAAGTATTCAGGCTCACTGCATCACTTGTTGCTGTGCAAATCTGCATTGTTAATCTGTTTATCCATTTGGGTACATTTGATTCATTCCTAATAAAAGTGATTTCAGCTCTAAGAAGATAGATATTTTATATGTCTTGGGAGATGAGTCCTTTATTAAAGACATTAGTCATCTAGAAAAGGGACATTCTTTTCTAGCTTTTTTTTCTTTTTAATATGTCAAGCTGAAGATATTATGTGAGGAAATGAAAAAGCCCAGCTTTAGGGCAGTCAGCCCAGTGGGCCCCAAGGCCTCGTCCCCACCATGCTTTATTATGCCCTGTGCTCTCTTGTGACATTGGGCCTCTCCTGGAATTAGGAGAATGCCTTAGAGTTAGGTATAAAATGCTTGAGTTTTACAGTGTTCTTTCGCATCCCTGATTCAATTTCCTCGCTTCGCACACCAGCGAGGTAGACTGGCCAGGTAGTATGTTTGTTAAAGGTCTGAGGCACACTGGAATTAGAACAGTTGCCAGGGACACCTAGAAATTGAAGTTGGGGTAAAATCCAGGTCTCCTGACTAATGCGGGGTTTTTTGGTACCTTCCCTAGTGGGTGTAGACAGACTGCTGGTGTGGCGCTGTAAGATTAGCTCTGGACTGTGAACCACAAGGTCAGCAGTTCAAACTCACCAGCCTTTCTCTGGGAGAAAGACATGGCTGTCTGCCCATAAAGACATGCAGCCTTGGGAACCACGTGAGGCCGTTCTTCTCTCTCCTCTAGGCTTGCTATGAGTCAGAATGGACTCGATGGCAGTGGACTTAGTTTTTGATACTCTACTTGAGGAGCGCTGGTGGTGCAGTGGTTAAGCACTCAACTGCTAAGCAGAAGGTCAGTGATTCTAACTCTCCAGCCACTCCTTGGGAAAAGCTACGGCAGTCTATTTCGGAGCAGCTGTATTCTGTCTTACAAGGTTGCTGGGTATCTGAATCGACTTTGATGGAAATGGGTGGTTTTTTTAATACTACGGCTCTAATTTGATTCTTAGTCTAGGTGTGATAAATCACTAAGATGAAACCATTGCCTAAAACCGTAGCTCCATGATGTGAAATCTAGAATTGGTATTGATTCTGTTCCCCTAAATAGAGCTGTGCCGCACTGATTTCTGTGAACTGAGTTAGAATCTTAATTGTTCACATGCAATTTTCCTAAGAACCTGTCAATGCCCGATAAGCTTTGTTAGAATTTGTTCCTTTGAACTGGGGTTGCCTACAGACTTACCACAGTGAGCACGTTCCTTGTTCTCTGAGGCCGTAGCCACTTGGTCTCAGTTAGTCTGAAACTCCTTCTCTCCATTTCCTAGCAGCCTCGCTGGTAGTCTCTTCACTTTGCTAGGCCCAGCCTGCTTTAATGACAGAAAGTCCCCATCTACCTCTGCAAGCAGATCTGTCTCTCTGCTAAGTGTTGGTTGATATTCTTCAGCCAGAGTGTGAAAAGCATTTCCATTTCAAATGATTTGGAGTTTTAAATTGTCCAGCCCTACTTTGTAAAACCCACACATGGGTGCCTAAGAATGTGGCCATTACATCTGTTTTCCTTTTCTTAAATCAGCGCATCATACTGGCTCTCTAAAAACAGCCATGGTGTGGTGGTCTGCCTGGAGTCGCCCGAATTCGTCACTTCATGTTGCATAACAGCTGTTCCATTGGCCTGAATTCCATCTTGTTCCTTTTTGGCTTAAGTTCTAATTCTTAGAGATTTAAAAATATTAGTTCCCATGGGGGTAAAGAGCAATAAAATCCCACTAACCTAACTGAGCTCTGGTAGCATAGTGGTTACGAATCGGGCTGCAAACCTTAAGGTCAGCGGTTCGAAACTACCAGCTGCTCTGCGGGAGAAAGATGAGGCTTTCTACTCCCATAAAGATTTACACCCTCGGAAACCCTGTACAGGGTCGCTATGGGTCAGAACCGACTCGACGGCACATAACAACAACAACAACAACCTAACTGATTGGAATACTGATAGGATGCTGTGGGTTGATATGAAGGTTGGCGGTTCAAGCTCACCCAACAGCACACAGTAACGACAACATAGGGTATGGATCAGAGTTGACTCAACTGCACACAACAGAAACAACCAGGAGGGCCCCAGAAACCCTAAACAGGGTCACTATGTGTTGTAGCTGATTTAATGACAGTTAACAAGAACTTAACTGATTATATTAGGGTCGTTGTTGTTACGTGCTGTTGAGTTAGCAATAACTCATAGCGACCCTATTTAGGGTATCCGAAGCTATATATCTTTGCAGGAGCAGGAAGCCTCATCTTTCTCCTGCAGAGCAGCTGGTGGGCTCAAACCACAGACCTTGGGGTTCGCAGACCAGTGCTTATCATACAGCACCACCATGCTGTCCTTATATTGGGGTGTTATTGTTGTAATTGCCATCGAGTTGGTTCTGACTCATAGCGACCCTGTACAGGGTTTCCAAGGAGTGGCTGGTGGGTTTGAATTGCCGACCTTGCAACAAGTAATCCAGTGCTGACCCTACAGCGCCACACCAGAGCCTAAATGAATATATGTGTGAAACAGAGAATTTTTTTTTGGAAATGAACAGAACTATTTTGTTTCAAGTTCCCAATGACCAGAACTGCTTCAGAGCACTGTGGTCTTCTCAGTCCTTAGGGGAAAGATTTCATGAAGCAAAGGATGACTTTATCCCATTTTAAAGATCACAGAATATTTTAAAACTACTTGGAGAAGTACTTTTTCTACTTTGTATTTTAATATTTTTCTCCCTGAAATTCTGTTTATACTATTATTTTGGTTTTTTGTTTGTTTCAAAAGAGAAGATAAAACAATGTGACAGTTCGGTGCCAGGGAATTCTTGCTCTGTGGTGGGCTCAGAAAGATGACTTGTAAAGACATCCCAATTCTGGGGTTGCATTTTAATATGGAGCATCATGGCTAATCCTGCACATAGAAGCTCAGCCCAGACAGCTAACCTGGCTTATTTGCCCTGTATAAAAATCTACACCCCTACCAAAGCCACTATTGTCAAGTGGCTTCAGACTCAGTGCAGCCCCGCAGGAAGCACAGAGGAACGCTGCTCCTTTGGGTTTCCAAGGCTCGAATCTTGATGGAGGCAGACTGCCACATTTGCCTCCCAAGGAGCGGCTGGTGGAGAGTGAGGAAAAACCCACTGTTACTTGCCAAGCTTTCAGAAGATGCCCCTTGGATCTGAGTTACAGCTGCTGTGAACTCTCATATCCGCCACAGAAAAGGCAGCCTGCACAGTTTCATCAAAGCCCCTCAAGCTATAGAATGCAGCTCTCTCTCTCCCCGTGAGCATTTGTCACTGAGTGAAGCTTGGGGAGCAAAACCTCACTTCATTTTCCCAGCTCCCTCCTAGCTTGAGTGTGAGTGTGATACAGAGTGATGGGCTAGCCCGGTTGGCCAGGGACTGAGCAGTTTCCAGGGCAGGGCAATTGGTCACCTGTGCTGAACTCATGGGAAGCTTCTGAGATTTAACCCGGGTTGTTAATTCTGTGTTTAGTCTGCATACTCTCATCTCAAGTCTGCTGTAACAAGGCTAAATGACGGGCACTTTAAGGAGATGTGGTGAAGCAATCAGCAGGGCCATAGGGAGAGACCAGACCTTGGACTGCCTTGTCCTCTGTCTTCCGTCTCTCTCTACCTCGTTTACTGGGTATCCTTGGATAACATGCTTAATAATCGATGCTTCTAAATATTGTGGCTATGGTTAGAAGGTATGTATCTTATCGTCCAGGGTCAAATTGATCAGCCAGCTCAGCTTGGCTATTCTTGGCTCAGCTTTGTAGAACTTTGGAACTAGATCCAGAGGAGCCGAGGGGTAACCCACAAGGCATTCTGGGTTCTGCTATGGGAGACCTAGGGGCTCATGCCATGTTCTCTGCTAGTAGCTGGCCTTGCCACTCTCAGGGCACTGCCCACTGCCCTGTGATGCCACTTTGGGTCTCCCTGAGGGAAAGGGGCCCTCCTGGTTGTTTCTGTTGTGTGCAGTTGAGTCAACTCTGATCCATACCCTATGTTGTCGTTACTGTGTGCTGCCAAGTCGGTTCTGACTCACAGCAATCCTGTATAGGGTTTCCAAGGAGCAGCTGGTGGATTTGAACTGCCAACCTGTGGTTAGCAATCCAGTGCTTATCCTTCAGCACCACACCAGGACTCCCCAAAATACCCTATAGACACCAGGTAACATTGAGGACGGATGGAGGCCTCAGTGGCCCAGCAGTCTGATGAGTTCATCATTTCTGAACAGAAGAGACTCTGGGTGAATGGATGTGAAGCAGCTTTGAGGAAGGAAGGACACACTGAGCCTGAGCGAGCACCTCCAAGTCTCGACGTTTCTCTTCGCAGCCTTGCCAGTGCTCACTGTATGGAAAGAGAGCTGATGCGGCGGAATGTGATTCCTGTGACCCATCCAGTAAGCTTGCGGGTTTCCAGACCACAGCCATCTTGCCTCCCTCCTGCGTTGCGTGGTGATTTCTGTGGATCGTGTTGGCTGTGGGCAGAGCTCAGGGACGCTGTCCCAGGGGGCTGAACTGCTGCAGCTCTTCTGTCCAACACAGCCCGTTTCCCAGCATCTATGGGAAGCCACCACCGGGCTTTTTTCATGTTTTCTTTGACATTCTCTGCATTTCTTCTCTCATAGGCTCATCACATTAGCCAAATTACCAAAATAGGATCTTGAAAAATAGATGTCAAGTTGGGTCTCATTAGAAATTTGGTAGTAGGCTGTCCCTCACTGGCTGAGTTGGAAATTCATTAGATTCCCTTCAACTATTAACCATGTTGTGGTGATGGTGGTGGTGGTGTGCCATCGAATCACTTTCGACCCATAGA